CCCCCCCCCCCCCCCCCCCCAAATCTTGTAATACTATCGCCCTGAAAACCGGCCTCTCCGTTTTTTTTACATCATTCATCATTTTTAATTATAACTTTTTTTTAAAAACAAAATATATATAATTAAAATAAAATGTTAAGATTAACATTCTTTATTGAAAACAACATCGATATAAAAGACATAATACACCAAAATATAATTAAAATTTAAAAAACAAATGAAAAGCATCAAAATAAATACGAAATGAATGAAAATTAATGGTACAATTAAGTATTATTGTGCCTCTATTTTTTTCCCGATCAAATCATCTTGGAGGGTAGCATGGCTTCGTTTAGCTTGCATACTTACACGTTGATTTGTAAAATCTTGTAATTCGGGAGGTGGCCCTTGAGTTGTTGGACCTTGGCGGATGGTGGTCCTAGAAGTAGATGTGACTCCCTCATTTATAAAACGAGTGATGTTGGCTCCCTTGCAGACTCTTGTTTCTACACGAACAATGCCCTCTTAGATCTGTCGGAGATGCGATTGTGTTCACAAACACTGACCAACGTGGATAGATCTCATCCGCTAAATAACATCCCATGTTATATTGGTGACCATTGGCGGTGAATTATACAATTGGCACACGTCCAGCACAGATATCATTGAATAAAGGGGATCTATCCAACACATTCAGATTGTTGTTCAATCCGGTGACTCCGAAGTACGCATGCGAAATCCACAGACGATGATCGACAACCGCCTTGAGCACGATCGTCGTGTGTCCCTTGTGAATGCACTCCTCCACGCCACCAGACAATTTTCCACTCCCAGTTGCATACAGTCCATGCTACCAATCATCCCTTGAAACCCGTGCACTTCCTCGTGTATATTGACTAACATTTGAACGCCTGGGGCAATCGGTTTTCACAAGTACGTCTCTTGAAAGCTTCAATGACACTTCGATAGAAATGCTGCAAGCATTCTCGGCCAGTAGAGTTCCCGATGAGGAGATACTCTTCGAACATGTCATCACAGTTGTCGTACGCGAGCTACCTAATCGCGATTGTGCACTTTTGTAGAGTGGATAGGCCCTCCCGCCCAACACCGTTCGGACACTTTTGGAAATAGCCATCACGAGCTGCAAGTGCGTCCATGATTTGTACGAATAATACACGACACATTCGGAAGCGACGATGAAATTATTCATCAGAAAACCGCGAAATGTTAGAAAAATAATCTTCAAACAGCCAGCGGCCTGCTCACATTCCCATTGAATGTACACCTGCGTATGGGGAATGGGAGGAGTAGCAGTCATCGCAGCTTATCGAACAATTTCACGTGGCATTGAAGTAAAAGATATGTTGAATTTATAGGGATGAAATAAAGGAATTGCGTCGCGGCGGACTGCTGCAGTGGGCAACCACTGCAAAAATGCGCCAGCTTTTCAGCGCGGCTTTACGCTGGGGCGTGTTTCGCGGCGGGAGTGCTACAATGGGATAGGGCCCTAGCGCTGCGTGGCGAGGCGTGCAGCGGGGCGAATCCCCCTTCCCGTTGTAGATGCTCTTATAGTCTCGGTGTCAAATTTAACACCAAACAATTATGTCAAAAGAGTTATGGTGTTTTTGCTAATCAAACAACTATAAAAGACATAAAGACACGTTCTCAAAGATTTATTTCCTCCGTCTCAAATTAAAGTCATGTTTACTAATTACAAAGCAAATAATTATTTATCAAAATTTAGACTCCTTATATAGAATTTGAAGTTTTAAAGCCTAATTATTTATCGAAAGTTTCTAGACCTATCAAGATCCTTGTGGATATGTATGATATGGAAATTAAATCTTTTAAAAATAATTGTATACTTTTGGACCTTCCAGAAAAATACATCTATCATGGACCTAAACAAGATTAAATAGCTCACATAATCAAAGGAATAAAATAAATAAATAAATTTTCACACTAATAATTTATTGCTTGTGTAAGAGTGTCCATGAATAAAACTCGGATTTAAACAACATTAAATAGCTCACATAATCAAAGGATTTAACTCTTTTGATACCCCTTGCCCAACCAGCTGAGCAACGCCCATCGACATGAATAAACTCTTCTAAGTCCTATTAGAAGGAATGAATCTATAACCAATATATTTGGATCTTCTAAAGTTTTTAGCATGGAATCTAGAATATATTTGGATCTTCTAAAGTTTTTAGCATGGAATCTAGAGTCTATGTTTGAAATACAAGAACACATGCATCTTATTGGACTTGTTTTATACACTAAAAATATTTTAGACATTAAGATTGCTAAAATCTTCAGTTTAGAATCTAGAAAAATAAATTCAGAAAAATATGACCAAAAAATCAATAACTATAGGAGTAATATTTTTTTGCCAAAAACCAACTTGTCACAATACTTTCTCCATCTCATAAAAAAATTCCACTTTCAAAAAAAAGTTGTGGTTCATATAATTTCTCTTTCTACACCACTTTCAATCACCAATTTCACTTTTTTTTTAAATCTCAATGTCGAATCAAACGTGAATTTTTTTTACGAAACAATGATAATACATTTCTTAAGCTCCAAAAACTAGTGATTTGCAACCACACAAGGGTATGGGCAGAGGACCCATTGAGAGATTACACCATTTAGCTCATATTGATTGAATCACAACACTTGGTACAACATATCATCAACCCCCTTTTTGCACACAGAAGAGACCACATGGTGAATAAAGTGTGAAACAACTCATTCCATGGGGATATACATATATTACAATGATACAGCAAAGAGTCCACTAACCAGCCAAGGAACACTACCAAACAGTTCAAACAAAGGTCAAACCACGGCGGACCCTTCAATACGCCAAGAATGCTCGAGTGGAAACAATGGCGCTGCATAGCGGCAACAAGAACAGTCTACTTACAATCTGGGCCTCTTTTTTTTTGTCATAGAGAGTGGGCATTTTTTGACAACTTGTGGGTGTCACACTGTATTATATCTTTACTTATCATGTCAATGTAAGTCCACAGATAGTGTCATTGAGCCTTTGGGGGCGTGCGACTCGACACCCCACGTAACAATTTCACGAAACCCAGGAAGCTTAGCTTTCCATCAGTGTGCCTGATCCAGTCATGCAAGACAGCATGCAAAGGAACAGAAGGACCAAGACCAAGTTCCTGAAAACAACAAAGTTTTTTTTTCAAATCTTTATTTCCTTGTCTATTTTCATACCTAGTTTCTTGTTCTAGTATTTTTTTTTTCTCAAAGGACCATAGATGTTTCCACTATGTTTGGTTCAAGGAATTTGAAAGAAAAAGAAAAGAAAACGGTTTCTCTCATTTTCCTCACCGAAACGGGAGGAATTTGGTTCTCCCTCCTCTTAGTACATTTTTCCTTGTCATTTTCTTTTCCTTCCACTTTTCTTTTCTTTTCTTTTCCTCTCTAACCAAACATGAAAAGTGTTGTCCCTCTCATTTCTTTTCTTTTCCAATTCAAATTCCTTGAACCAAACATACTGTTAGGAAAACTCAAAACAAATTTATTAGAAATATCATGCGAGAAAGTAATGAGCTCGTGTGGAAATTTTATTTTTACCGAAGCTAGTTCTTCAATGATGATTGCCCGATTCCCATCCTTTTCAAAGATTTCATAGGCACAGCGTGCATGTTGCTCCCAACGATCAAGAGCCTCAAGTTGATGAACACTCAATGTGGCTGCGCAGAACTCCTCCAAGTCCATCCTCCTGTACTGTAGTGCATTGAGCTGCCAAGAATATAAAGGAAACACATCAGCAATAGATATGACGATGACACTGAGGCCCCACTTGCTAGCAAGTCTTAGCAACCATTTCACGTTATCGTCAAGGCAAATTCTTATGTAGTCATTGGGTCTACACTCATTTTATGGACCTTAGCATATAAACACAATGTAGGAGCATTTTTTAGTGTTGTAGGAGCATCTTTTAGTGTTGTTTCAGTAAAATAAGCCTTACGAAACGGGCTTAGGACCACACGGAAGCACAAACCTTCAGTCAAATAAGCCTTACAAAACGGGCTTTTGAGTGTTAAAAGTTAGAATGGGAGCTGGGATTAGGGTGTACCGATGGAAGTAAATCATGGATGCGTGACTCTTTCATGGCATCTGTTGCATTCTTCATCAGTGCCTGACAGAAAACACAGTTATGAGAAAATGCCACAAGTCGATAGCTCTAATCGCGTCAAATATATTTATCAAATCTAACCGTTTTAATATTTTCCAAACATATGGTGCCATTTTTGCTAGGTTCCAACAGAGAAAACTGCTCCTTCAAATAAAAAAGCTCATCCACAGTCAAGGTCTTGGATAAAGCCTGCAAGGAACACAGCAAGCACTATATGATATACAGAGGATATAGATAATTTTTTTGCAAAAATTACTTTTTTTCTAATAGTGGCACAGACGTATACCCGCAAAGCAGCTTTCCTCAGAGCAGATGATTTCATGTAAGCCTTCATTAGTTTGAATATTAGTATATCCAAAGGGACTTTTGGGTTGCTACTGTTTTTTATCCAAGGATGACCTGAAAAGGCAAAAGATACTAAAGTTAAGTTTGGAAAAATAAGATGAATAACTATTGATAGCTGATAAGTTAATTTCTATCTAATAGTTAATAGCTTATAACTTTTACAAAGTAGCTGATCTCATACATTTTTAGGCAACAATATTGATAAGCTGGTTTAAAAATATGAAATGACACAAACAGTTTTGTTTATTAATTCATTTAAAAATACAAATGAGGTTAAAATGGAACTTTATACAAAAAAAAGTCATTAGCTTATTTGAGGAGTTACTCAATTAAGCATATTCAATAAGTTGGCCTAACCAAACAAAACTTATTCAAAGAAATAACATAATGCTGCACTTTATTATAAGCAAAGCAACATACTCAAGGCTTGAGCTGCAGTCATTCTTTTGCGTGGATCCTTATTTAACAAACGCTTGACAAAGTCTTTTGCCTCAGGAGAGAGGGTAGGCCAGGGTTGTTCTTCAAAACTCGGATCAGCTTTTAGGACAGCCCGAAAGATACCGGATTCAGTCCGAGCCCAAAACGGACGACTGCCACACAACAGAATATATGCTATGACACCAATGCTCCAAACATCAGCCTCTGTACTGTAAGATCTATGTAGGACTTCAGGGGCAACATAATAGGCACTCCCAACAATATCATTCAGCCTTTCATCTGAAAGGTTATGATGAATATGGGTCAGACAATGAGTTTATGGGAAAGACCCATTTTCTGGGCATGTAATTATTATTCCCTCCGTCCCAAAACTAAAGTCACAAAAGGGATGACAATGGTTGACAGAATTCCTTTTCAGCTCAACTCAATTTATTTATATAATGGTACAAATTTTTAAAATAAATTAAAAGTGACATGGGTATGTTATTTTAACAAATGATTAACGAAAATAAGTGAAAAGAGAAAAATTGATCATTGAATAGTGTTTGTGGTTTCAATTTTGGGATGAAGGGAGCATATACATAATATGTAATGACAAAAGGGACAAGACATTTGATGTCTGAAAAAGACACACCTGGCTTTACAAAATCAGACAATCCAAAATCTATGGCTTTCAGGACTGCGTTTTCATCCTTGGAAGTGAATAAAAAATTCTGGTCCAGCAACAAGCTACGGTTAAAAACATAGCATAATAAAATAGAAAAAGCAAATTTAAAGCAATCATAGAAACAACTGAAATTTCACCAACCTCAGGCTTGAGGTCCCGGTGCACTACACCTTGTAAATGACAAAAGGACACGACATTTAATATCTGTACTAACACAACTTTTGCATCATCTTCTGTGTATTTTCCACCTCTGCATTAGAAAGAAAACTTTTTTTATTTCACTAATGGAAATTGAAGGACCCTCACACATAAAAGTTAAAAAATTTTGCATTAACAAACTCAAGAGTGGAAAAAGCAAATGACTTGAATAGACCTGACTCAAAAGAAATTACCTTGCCAATATTCTATCCAAAAGCTCCCCTCCTTCACAAAGCCTAAAAGACAGAGTAGAATATTAATGCTTGAAAAGAGGCAGCCCAAAGGATAACAAAACAAAATCGAACATAAAAACAAGCAAGTGAAACAGCATTCCTAGAAATGTTAAAAATTAAGCACAAGACATAGTATAATGATTTGAAAAATGAACTTAAAAGTGAATCAAATGAAATTCTCCATGACATGAAACTGACAAGTATCACACACGGCATTACTTAATGTTATGATCTCAAGCAGTTAGAGCTTACTCCATTACTATGTAGACATTATCATTGTCTTCATATGCATCATAGAACTGTACTAGGTTGTTATGTCCAGTCAATGCTCTCAATATTATCACCTCCCTTCTGACATCTTCAATGGCAATAGCAGTTGTCATCTGGAAGACGAAGTTAGAATCACAGTTAGACAAAACCACAATCAGCAAACTATGCCCAACAATTAACACAGAACATGGTAATGAAACAGTGAGAATCACTGTTCTGAAATATTGATATTTGGCAGTTAATCCACATACTCCTGCAAACACGGTTTGCAGGAAAAAGAAGAGCATGTTACTGCCATCCAAAGATCAATCAAATATTTGAAACTATTAAGCATAAAATGAAAGAACATAATATGCAACAATTCAGAGTAAGTTATTGAGCAGTTTCTAAGCAAACTGAGAAAGTTTCCACTGCTAGTCCCAAGTCCCAACTCAAGAACTCTTACACTATGTTTGGTTCAAGGATTTTGAGAGGGAAAGGAAAAGAAAATGAGAAGGAAAACATTTTTCTTGTTTGGTTAGAGAGGAAAAGAAAAGAAAAGTGGAAGTAAAAGAAAATGAGAAGGCAAAATGTACTAAGAGGAAGGAAAACCAAATTCCTCCCATTTTGATGAGGAAAATGAGGGAAAACATGTTTCGTTTCTTTTCTTCCAAATTCCTTGAACCAAACATAGTGTTAAAGGGTAAAATTTATCCCATAAAAAGAAATAACTATAAAAAAAATTCTAACTTATGCTAGAAAACAACAAACATCATACAAAAGAAAGCCTGAGTAAATGAATAGGGACAAAACCAATCAGAAATTAGTCAAATGTGACAAAGTCAAAAACAGTTCCGTGAAGAGATCCAGTTTCAGTTATCCACAAGTTGTAGTTTGTAATAGCTAAAGTCAATTCTAAATATATTAATACTACGGAGTAATAATTACCAGATCAAATTGAGACAAATTCAAACTAAAACCAAGAATGGGAGTTGAGAAAGATGTTGAACCTCACCTTTGCTTTGGGGATGACCTTGACTGCAACATCTTGACCCTTCAGCTCGCCCTTCTTGAACTTAGCCCTACAAGTATACCCAAAATGCCCTCGGCCAACCTCCTCTCCAAGCTCGTACTTGGTTCCCAAATTCTTTGAAAACCCAAAACTTTTGTCCAGTCGACCCCCCTCTGGCTCTGCCCCTTCTGGAATTGCAGCCCCGTTCGGCTTCACAGAGCCATGCCTTCGTGCAAGAACAGCTCGGATGTGCTTGGCAGGGGACGGCGGAGGGAACGGCCGCCGGAAAAATCTCCTCGGCGTGGAGTTGGAGCTAGGGCCATTCGCCGGAGATCTCGCCGGAGACTTCTTAGAGAACAGGTAGTGCGCCGGGCTCGGACTGTAAAACGGGAACAACGGAGACTTCTTGCCGGCCTCAACTTCCCCCTTCTTTACATTCGTGTGGCAGCTCTGATTCTCGCCGTTCTCCAGTTTCTCCTTCGCCGGAACAGAACTTTCCGCCGGCTGATCATTCCTGGAATCATTGGGTTCTATAAAGGGTTTGGAAGTGCAAATACCCATCCCCGGCTGGCGAATCCCTCACCGTCTTCTCCCTCCGATCCCAATTTATTTCTTTAATCAAGTAAAAGAACAGAAATTCGGAAACTAATTCAAACCCGAAACAATTACCAATTACCAAGCAAAATCAAGAACAAAATCGAATATTCTGCTAGGGTTTTTTTTCAAATTGGAGCAAAAATCACAGAAACGGATCTATAATCTTGCAGAACCTGATAATGCGGAAACGACGATAAATTCGCTTTTCGAGTTCTGTCTTTTTAAACGAAAAAAGAAATAAATGAAATAAAATAAAATAACAATAATGGAAATAAATTGAATCCGGTGAGATTTGTAGGAAAAAAATCTTTCGCAGAAAAGGAAAATTTAAAATTTAAGCGGGTGGTCCATGGCCGAAGTTAGGACGAGGCCACTTGGCAGATAATGATTGGCTATAGGAGTGAGTGTTAATTAGTTGACGTAGAACCACCGCATTAAACTGGTGACACTATCACAATTCACAAAAATGAATGGAGAAATTGCAATAAGTTCCATTTTATTTTTAAACAGAGATAAAATTTGATTAAAAAATAAAGATAAAACGAAGAAATAAAAACACACAAACTTTAATATAGTTTTTTCTTGTTTGGATGGGAAAAAAGGAAGAGAAATGAAAAAAAAGTGATAGAATTCACATAAAATATTCTCTTTCTGTATATAAGAAGAAAAAAAGTTTGCTACCAGTATTCTTTTTCTTGTAGACAAATTATTTTGTGCTGCTTACGTTCATACTTATTATATGGATCTTCATGCATAAAATGATTTTATGTATTGGGCTAAAAATAAGAAGATTCAATCATGAACTTATGAAAAATTGTAAGAAGGTTTACATTTTACGTGTTAACTTTAAGACTATAAATCTATAATAGCACAACTCTTTCTTGTACTACCTCTGTCCCTGAGTATTTGTCCAGTTTTTTATTTTTTTTGGTCAATTGTTTTCAATCTTTAACTTATAATTAAATAAAATATATATTGTATATTAATTTGATAAAATAACATTTTGAAATTATTTGATATAATAAATCTAACAAGACTATTTTTGTATCAATATCTAATATCATTTTTTATTTAATTTAAGGTCAAGTTTACCATTTTTGGCTGAAAAAAAATCAAAAATAGACAAATACTCAAGGATAGAAAGAGTATTTTTTATTCTTTATTGTTTTTTATTTTTTCCTTTTTCATTTTTTCTTTATTGTTTACTCATCCAAACGACAATTATTTTCTCTCAATTATCTCCTCTTTAGTTTCACTCTTTTTGCCATTAGTTCTAGAATTTCTAGCCATTAGTGTTTCATTTCAATATTTTGAAAATCTTATCTAACGAATACTTTTTAAGCTATGACAAATTTAAACCTTTTATAAAAGTTACATATCTAGAATCCAAAAAATTAGATTTTGGTCAAATTCAGATTTCGCAATTAAAAATCTATACACTCGCTTTGTAAATAAAAATTTTAAATTTTAAATTTTAGAATTGAAACCTAAGTTCTCAAATACTATTATAGCATCTTTAAAATTAATCTGTTACAAAATTATTTAAAAAGTTAACATTAATCATAAGGGTTGTTCTCAAACAAAGCTAAACTTTAGTGATACATTTTGATCACAAAAAAAAATGTTACTATCCCAATCTTATCAATTTTTTTCTATTTTCTTTTTTTTGTTACAAAAAGCTAAGGATGAGCTTCATCTCCAAAGGTCCTCTAGAATTGGCCAGATGGTTATCTTGAGAGAATGTAAATTGAGTTATAATCATTTCCTAGGCAAAAGGTGCAACCCGCTTTTGGTACTTGCAAAAGTCTTACACTTAGCATAGTCACCTGCTAGGACAATTTCCAAGAATCAAATTCGAGTTTACCAACTTTAGTACCCTTTGCTCAACCAGCTCAACTACACACACCGATCTCTTAGTCTATGGGGTCTACGCTTGTGTAACAACCATTTGCTTATAAACTTTCATATAACAAATTACACCAGCCAATACAACATAACGTCTTTTCTAGTGTAATGACAAAATCTCACTATAAACGACTTCTAACTCAAACGTTGTTTGATCTCATCACCTTATCTTATTCCACCTTAATTGAAACCTTTTCAAAAAACACACATCTTTGCGCCCCCCACCCTAAATGTCCCCACCCTAAATGTCTCAATTCATCAAACTACAACTCACGCAAATCATTCAACCCCTACTTCATTTATCTAACTCGCAATGACAAAAGTACAAACAACACCCACAAAGATCCAAGCTGGTGCGAAGCACGACGTATAATACTAGTAAATGGTAAAGAGTGCGCGGTGGACGGGACCTTGCCTAAGCATCACTGCTGCATAAAGGCTCCAACATGATTTTGATGGTATTGTAAAAGATAGAGCAGCTGCAACACAAATGAAGTACAAAAAGAAAAAAGAAAACTGGTATTAATCAGACTTAATTGGTAAGATTTGTTTCTCTTTTTACATGAAATGAAATCCGAATATCAGGTTACCGAAGAGGCTCTTAACATCCATATCCGTGAGGAAAAAAGAAAAAAAAGAAAACAAAGGGCATGTTTGGGAATAACATTAGAGATTAGCATTAGTATTTTGGATAAAATTTCAAGGTGCAGATTACTTTGAAAACACAAATGCTAAACACTGCCCGTAGATAGCCTTTTCAATACGCTAACGCTAATCTCTAACGTTGTTCCCAAATAGACCCAAAGAATAAGACAATTTATTCTCTATAGTATATTGAAATTAAACTTGCAATCACAATTGGGAATGTTCATTTAATTGTATTCATTGGCTACTGATAGATGAATAAAGATATCCAGTAAACACTTTATACTCTACTAGGCCTCCAACATTAATTTATAAATATGGGAGGCACTGAGATTTGGACATTGAAGCCTCTAGGTCAACCAAAAGTTAAGCTTGTAATATGAGGCTCGGAAAAGGATCGAAAATATATGGATATTGTCCTGAACTGATGAAAATTTTCAAGAAAAAAATTGATATACTCTTGACGAAAATCTGTCCGAATAATGTGTCATTCTAGTAGTGACACTACTTTTTTTCCCTAAAAATCAGAAAGAAGAAGGATAAGAGAGAAATAGTTTACCAGCCATTGATGGCTTGGTCTTCTTCATCATCTTCAACTGGGATCTGCTGGACCTGTGGAGCATCCATTGTTACTCTCGAATTGAATGAAGAATGATGATGAGGAAGGGACTTTAATAGTGGAGTACATTGGTAGACAGTGTGATACATAATTGGTTGAAATGTCTTAAAGTTGCCCCTGATTTATGCTCTTTGCTTTGAAACTTTTTACAACATTTTTCTTTCTTAGTCATCAGATCATTTTTCTACTTTCCTGCTTTCAAACTTGCCACTTGACCTTTCCCTTTTGGTACTTTGGGTATCCATAAAAAGCACTAATGAAAGGAACCCCTAAAAAATGGATGGTTTGCAAATAACCCCAAACAATTTGTTTTAAAACAATCACCACTATCAATTGTTGTCAGTTAATGGGAGCCACAAAAACTCCATTTTCCTACAAAAATTTAAATGAAATTTCAATGTTTAGCGTGCGACGAAGAACCGTCAATGAAGGCATTTGGGATTGTGGAAGTTGCTTATTCATTGAGGTAGTTTTTTTACAAATTTTTTATATAATAGCAGTAACAATGACCAACGGTATGACCATATACCATTCCATTTGAGAAACACACAGTAATAAAAGAACAATGAACACAATTTCATTATGTCGGGCAAATAAAACTACAATTCATTGACTGCAGTTTAAGAACAAAAACCTTGCCTTTTTTGAAAGATTACCTAGACGCTGCCACTGCTGTTTCAGGAGATCATACAACGGGGGCAGTTTTGGACTTTTTGTCAGAATAAGTAGCTCGAATGTTACATACAGGCATCTCAGGGTATGTGCTCAGAAGCTCCAAATCAGGGTCAACACTGATGTCTTGCATCAGTACTTTGTCGCCAATATCAAGATTGCTCACATCCACCTCTATCTTTTGAGGAATTTTCTCTGCCGGGCATAAGAACCTCAAACTTTTTCTCGCCTTGTTTAGATGACCACCTGTCATTTGCCACAGATAAAACAGTAACACTGTCACAAATTACAATGTCTTTAGCTAACTTTAACATTGTAAAAGAGAATTCTCTTTTTTTTTTGTAGAGCTTTTGAAAAGTGACTTTTTTTGGGACAGGAGTAACGTGACTTGGGAGCACGCTATTGTTGACTGAGTAATGATCATGGTTAGTCTATGATATGCAGATATTGTCAACAAAACTTTGTGGTTAACAAAATACAAATCCATAAAATTTATAATCCATCTTACAAAATCCAAAATTGAAACAAAAAATGATCTCAAATATCTCGTTGAAAGCTAAATGGTTTTATAGCTACAAAGCACCTTTTTTTTCTAGGTACAAATGTTTGAATAGAGGAATGAATTGTTTGTTGTCATTTAAAAAAACAAACTCAATAAACCTCATTCTCAAAATGTCCATTGTACAAATTTATGCTCAACATCTAAGAAATTAGAACCGATTGCTGTAATTATGGGTCACTAATCACTATGATGCTTCCCACCAATGACTCTACAATATAAGCAGCTCAACATATATATTAACACACAACACACAATGACATAATTTACATAAATAGGGCGTCTATAAGACATTAAGACCACAGATCACAAACTTTGATAAGCAAATATGCAGTGAGCATATAAATTTAGAATACAGTAAAAAAGAGAGTATATAAATTCCATCCATACATGCATACAGCTCATGAACAATGCGGGAGAACTTATGTACTCTGTATCATTCATTTATCAGACATGTTATACATGTCACACTAAATGCAGCTTATATTTGTGTGTGAACAAATCACTAGGCTAACTTAATCTTGTGTCCTAAATAATCTCATTTCCCATTAAGACATAGTTTCGCATGTGCTTAATACATAGACACAAATTGTAGGCATGTTAGAGTTTTAATGGGGGCTGAAAGACTACTATATAAAGATCATTACATCTTATGGTCAAGAAGCAACCTAATTTTTGTCAATCCCATCGTTCATGGATAACCGATATTGTGACAAAAGGCGTTATGGTCCACAATAAATCAAACAAGGGAAGAAGATCAAAAACTTGCATGTTCATTTAACATCATGAATTCTGGTATGAATTGTATTGTGTGTAACGTTAAATTTTTGGTGTGTTCTACGAGACAACATATTTTAAACCCATAGCATTACCATCTTAGAGCTATAGTTACCTCCCTAAGAGCAAGTCAAAACAAGGAAATGTACATTGAAGAATATCAAAAGACAACCTTTCTTCACACCAGGGCAGGCGTCTTCTCCTTTTAAAACAACAGGGATATCCACCTTCAATTTGGATCCATCTTCAGCCCACACAAAGACCAAATTCAATATCTTCCCAGTCTCTTTGTGTGTGTGAATCTACATCGCCGGAAATTGGATGAGGAAAAGCATAAAACACCACAAATAAACACATTGCTTCTGATAAGATCGATCATCACTTGCCTTGATGGGAAGTACTCTCCCGGATTCTAGTAAACATGATGAGCCCGACCCGGCACGGATCTGCAACGGAAATGTCGTGGAGCAAAAGAACGGGAGTTCGATGGAATCAATGATGGTCTTGATCTGCTTTCTCTCGGTTGTAAGAAGGCGTTTCCGGGAGACGACGGCCGTCGCGGCGATTGATTTCGTGTCGCTAGGGTTTGTTAGGACGTAATTCTGCGAGAAGACGACGGCGGGGATACGGCCCTGTGCTCGGTCCCTAGCGGAAACTCCGCTACCTGTTGCCTCTCTTGGGATAGCCTGAATGGTGAAATACGACCGTCGGCTCGCCGCCTCCGTCGCGTTTCTTAAGCCGTGCCCGGCTGCAGCCACCGAACGCCACCACTTCGACATGGATTCGCCTTTCTCCCGGAGAAATAGAGCTGGCCCACTATGTAGCCGGAGAGACTCAGGTGAAAAAAAGGGGTTCAGTCCAACACTACAAGGGTTTAAGCTTGCTACCTTTTTGGGCCTGTCCAGTGAGATTGGGCTTGTGTGCAATGAATTAGTATATTTTATACTCCGTATTTCTTTTGTTTTTCATATATCTTCTGAGATATTATTCACGTGGTCAAATTTAAATCATTTTATTTGTGTGTTTTTATTACTTATTTTATAAAATAATATAGTCTTTGTCACTTCTTATTTTCCAGAACTTTTCATGTAACTTTTACTATATACATATTTTTAAAATTTTAGACACACAATCAAATAAATTGAATTGAAAATAAAGTCAGTCAAACCTTGCAATGTGTAATGAAAAGATATATATGGGAGACAAGGAAGTAGAAAACACAACTCAAATCTAACATTTTATCTCAATTGTCTAACATATATCTACCAACATTTTATGGTAACGTTTATATATGAATGTCGGTAAGAAGGCGAGGTATCCATTGGAGGGTCTAGAGCATTATCCTTATTACTCCCTTCGTCCCTATATAATTGTCACACTTGTATTTCCGAGGTAAAATATCAAGTTTTTTCAATTCATTTTATTTACATATTGGTATAGAAATAAAAAATAAAATTTACATATCAAAAAACTACATGAAAAGTTCTTCGGGATAAGAGGTGTCAATAATATTTTATTTTATCAAATAACCAATGAAAACGTAGAAATAAACAAAATTTCTCGCGACTACTGAAAAAGCAAACGTTGCAAATAATTTGAGACGGAGGGAATATATTTTTTAGAGTAATGCTAGGGGTACACCAAAGGTGTACCACATTTGTCCCTCACCCCTTTCTCCACCATTTATTTTTACCTCATTTTTATTTATTTAATTTTTTTATTACTCTCTAGCATTTTTCTATTTTTTATAGGTCTTGAGATAATCTTTTCATTTTACTAAAAAATCCTGAAGGAGTCACCTTCGTTACTGCTGCTCGTTGTCACTCTAAATTCGGTCTTAAACCAAATCTTTAGTGTAAGATTTTCTAATTTAAAATACTCCCTCCGTCTCTAAATAAAATTTCTCTTTCGTTTTTTCTTTGTCCCTAAATAAACTTCTCTTTTCCCTTAAAAAACCCCTTTTACCCCTTACTTTTTCATACCCTACCTATCACACCATACCTTTTTACTAATAATCTACCTATCACATCTTACTTTAACACATCACATCAAGGGTATTTTTGGAAAGTCAACACCAAAATGTCCCTCCCTTAAATCCTCAAAAAGTCAAAAATGGAACTTTATTTAGGGACGGATGGAGTATGATTTACATGCAACAATATTAGCTTCAATACATTTTTTAATTATAAATATTAACTGATGTATGTTACTGTTGTTGTACATTTACTAAATTTTAGTTGAGTTTAATAAAGATTAATTTGTGTATGCTAATGTTGTAGATTTACTAAATCTTATTGTTGTAATTTAAAATTTTAATTCAAATTTAATTCGATTTAGATACAGTTCTAGAAGATACCGATTCGAGTACATATCGGATTCAGGGAGATATCAGCTCGGATTGTTTTTTATTTTAGGTAGATTTCAATTTAGAAATCACCCTAAATATGACTAAAACATGGAAAAAAGCACCAAAATATGAAGGAACTAGAAGAAATTGGAAGAAGTTGAAAAACTGGAAAAAACTAGGACTGGAAAAAACTCGAATGATCTGGAAGAAACTAAAAAAACTTCAAAAAAATTGGAAAACCTAACAGAACTTTTAGAAAATTTATTTTAAATTCTTATTGTTATAAATTATTATTATTATTATTATTATTATTATTATTATTATCATCATCATCATCATCATCATCATCACGTTATCTTAATGAATACCTTTAAGATACAAAAAAAGTATTGTTATTTTTTAAATACAAAAAACTACTTTTGCAAAAAAATAATTAAAATATAAAGCTAGCATAAATATAAAAATATAGAATTTTAAAAAGTTTTTGTGGTTACGTTGCACCTCAATTTATTTGTGCAGTATCTATTATAAATAATATATTTGTCATTATACTTTATATATTATAAGATTTTGATTTAATTATCAGACATGTCACATAATGTAATCAAACTTATTTTTTTCATGACTGACATTTTATTTTCATTCAAGTCCTAGTTTTGGAATAAAAACATTGAACTTTTTTTTACATTTTAATGTTTTACTCCTATTTTCATTTTTTCTCTAAACTATTTTGACTTACAATTTTTTATAAAAATTAGAAAAATGAGCAAATTTTAAGTAATAAAGGGAAAGGTGAGAGGTCTTGTATAAAGTTAGATTAATAAAACATTCTATGTCACTATTTTATCCATTGTTTTTTTAATACAGTTTAAGATATTGATGTTTTCTTGTTTAATCATGTCGATTAATATACAAAAAATTGTCTTATTCATATTAAAAAGTTGAAGAAAACATAATGAGTGTGAATCGTAAAAATAGTGAAATGAAAAAATAATTTATAAACTATAGTTATGAACATAGCAGTTGTAATAATAATAATGACATTAAAAATATATCGTTTTTAGAGTAATTGATTGGAGAGTAGAAAGAGTTTGAAGAAAATGAGAATAGTTAGAAGAAACTTGGGAAAATTTCAACACTCAACTTACTCCTTGAAGGAGTGATTTATTCCAACAATAGATAGAAAAAGATGTCAAAATAGCTCCAGTGCTCATGTGGTTTAGAAAATTAGTACTAATATCCTCTATGTTTTCAAAATTTATTTCTAAACTTTCCGTGCTTTTAAAATTTTGCACGCACACCCTCTCTCTTGCCTAATTTCTAAACCATATGGGCACTCATGCTCATTTCTTATTTTTCATTTATTATTTTATTTTTTATTTTTTAACTCTTTTTTATAGCTTTTTTAGGAAAGTTTTTTAAATTTATTTTCAATTTTTTATATTGTTTTTAAAAAATAAAAATTATTTGCGTTTGAAATAAAAATAAAAAATTAACATATACTCTATCTATCTCAAATTAAATATTTTCACTTTTTGTTTTCTAAATTTTTTTTTGGTAAGTTCAAAAAATGTCCAAGATAAAAAAATAAAAATTAACATATAGAAAATGAACTGAAAAAATTCAAACATGCAAAAAAAAGTCATACAAAAAGGAATTTTTAAAATCCCTAAAAAGGTCTTTAGAATTGGGATGTCCAAAAAGGATTTATTTTTGTTTTTTGTTTTATTTAATTTTTTATTTTATTTCTCTTTTTTTTAAGTGCACAAAAAAGTTTTTATTTTTTTATTCCAGAAAACAAAAAATAATAATTGTTAATTTGAGATGTGCAGATGAATTAATTATTTTCTTTTCAAACTAAAATAATATTTAAATTTTAAGAAAATTATAAAAAAAATTTAAAAAAACCCTTGATGAATAAAAGAAACAAAAAAAAGGAAAAAAGGGAAAAAAAATAAACGAAAAATACTTCGTAAGAAATAAGCACCAGTGTCCCCTTAGGTTTGGAAAATAGGCACCAACGCCTCCCTTTTTTGGAAGAAAATGATCAGAGGAGGTATGATTGCAACGTCTAAAAATCACGGAGATTTTAGAAATGAGTTTGAAAACAAAAAGGTATTGATGCCTATTTCTAAACTATGAGGGGTATTGATGTTATTTGACTTTTAAAAACACTTGAATTCTTTCTTTTAAAAATAGAAAGTGAAAATGTATATGGAGTTTGAGAGAATGGAAATGAAAAGAATTGTGTTATTATGGTAATGAGATGGTGTTTGAGATTGAATCAAGCGTGGATAAAGTAATTTTGCAGAAGCTGAAAACAAAAGTACTTTATATCTGCTTCTGTGAAACAATATTCTATATATAAAACAATGAAGCAGAAAAACAGAAGCTGACATGTCAAACAGAACAATATAACTTTCACCTAGGACAAAAGCTAAAATCTTAAAATGTGAATGTGAACCTTCTCATTTTTTAAGAGTGTATCATTGAATCTCTTTACTTTTATAATATCTACCCCTCCGTCGTTGAGTATTTATCTATTTTTGACTTTTTTCTATCAGAATTAGTAAACTCTAATCGCAAATTAAATAAAAATGATATTAAATATTGATACAAAAATAGTTTTATTAGATTTATTATACTCCGTATTAGACACTTTCAAAATATTATTTTATCTAATTAATATACTGTATATATTTTATTTAATTATAGATCAAATGTTAAAAATAGTTGAATAAAAAAAGTCAAAACTGAATAAATACTCAAAAACGGAGATAGTAATACATATAATGATTTTATATATGAAGATTTATAAAATAAGTATGAACTTTTATTTTTAGTAAAAATAGAGATGATAAACCATTGAAATAGAGAGTAAATGAAAACATTTTTATATGATAAACCATTGCCATTGCCCATTGTGTCGCAGTGTCGGTAACAACATATCACATGGGCGCCTATCGTTTTCTATATACGATCTTCATCTAGTGGATCTTTGGATTATTATTTTGATTTAATTTTTACATTAAATGACCAATTAAATTGGAGATCATTAAATGCTCCTCATTTTGTTATTTTTTAAATTACTCCGTGTTTAATTTAAAAGATTTTTAGTTAAATTTTTTTTTGAAAATTAATACTATAAAATTAAAGAAAAGACATATTCTCTTTGTCCCAAATTTATTTACACAGTTCGAACAATGTGCGAAATCCTAAATTTTTAAAGTTTATTTATATATTAGTATAGAAATAAAAAGTAAAATCACATATTCAAAAACTGTAAAAAAAGTTCTAGAAAACAAGATACATCAGGAATATTTCATTCTATCAAATTAATAATGAATGCATATGAGTAAAAAAAAGTTATCAGGAGGAGTACAAATAATTTTGGGACAGAAAGACCATATAGAATTTATTAAAATTATACAAAATAAAATATGACAAAAATATATATTACCTCTGTCTTTGAGTATTTGTACAGTTTTGATCTTTTTAATCAACTGTTTTCAACCTTTGACATATAATTAAATAAAATATATATTGT